ATTAAATAAATTTTAAACGCTTTAGATTCGGTAGATACGGACAAAAGATAATCTGAGAGGTTTAATATGCTTGTTTATATAATAATAAATTTCAAGTAAGCTATTAACACATTTATTTCTTAATTACTTAGTTTGTAATTATAACGATTCTAAAAAATTGAATTTCCAATAAAAAAATTTGTGGTCAGTAATAAACATTCAGATTAACTCTCTTAGATTAAATCAACTGGATAAATAAAATACTTCAATAGACTATATAAATGATGACAATCATTTTAAGATCACAGCTATCAAACGTCATCATTTTATATCAACCATGTCGTTTTATATTCCAGCTAAGGTCTAGCTGCGATATACAATATATGTACAAAATATACAAGTATCTGTGCACTAGCATTAACGGTGTGAAACATTCTTTTTCAGTAAAATAAATATAGTATAATACTTAACGTAAAATAATAATGGTTTTCTTGTTAGGTACCTATTTGAAAGTCATACAAGTAGACAAGTGACTATTAATTCCCTTTCTTATTAGGCCTACTTTTTATTAATGTTAGTTAGCAATTCATTCACTAGCTGTGTCTGTATGTGTTATGTGCCGTTTTGATACCTAATGCTTGACTTTACTAATAAAATTCGGTTTGTTCTTTTGTAAACAACCTTCTTATAATTGCGATATTTTTTACAACGCGATTGTAAAGGATGTACTGTGTGCTTAACAAGAGCCTAATAAAACGTAACAAAACATTCAGCAGCAATTAAGGATTCGAATCGCCTTTTAATGGAGTAATTGAGCATCTAACTTTTCTTTTTTTTTTTCTTTGCTAAAAAAGTAACCATAATCTAATATTGCACAAATCTAGCAAATATCCAATCCATGTATTGCTTTTGTTATGCACAACACGCCAAAGCTCCTGTCACGCACCAGCACTCATGATATCGTGAAGAGACCCAGCTGGCTGAAGATAGTAATTTCAATTTTACCAGCCGCTGCATATGGCCGCAATGGGACTTACAGAGCACTAGTGCGTGGAGTGGCGTCATTGGAAGGACGATTCCTTGTGAAACGTGTCCGATTTATGAAACGACGGTCGACCACTGTTTTCACTACTCCTCGTTAAAGGGATGTCCTGCGATGCGAAGTTATTTTCCGATTTCGGCCTGGGCAGGGCGAGTTTCTTCAGCGTTCGACCAAGTTCATGTAGACTACGGTCGCTCGCGTGCAATCGGGCCATCGATTCATCGGACGCGTTCACATGATCGGCTTCAGCCGCTAGAGCGTTTACGACAGCGTTTATGGTTTTGCTCTCGCTTCCCAGGTCTTCTTCCTTATGTGCGACCAGGTTTGGATTCTTTCCTATTTTATTCAACCTGAAACACCATTCCAAATCAAAAAAATTGATTAATCATTGCGTCATTAATGGAACAAGCTTCGCAAATAGTATAGTACTTTAAGCTCTATTTGTCTTATTACTGCTGCGATTCAGGGGAAGCATTGTATAAGAAATTAATAGAAATCTAAAAAACCAGTGTTAGTGTTTTACTGAATACGATAATGCCATCGCTTTCTATTGTGTACTGTGTGTTGTGTGTGTTTTAACAAAATAATTAAAGCATATTTGGGCTTTATATTTCCACAAAAAAAATTGAAATGCTTAATGTTTAGGATAATAGAATCTGTGATGGCAACTTGTCTCCTTTTCATTGTAAAAATTGTAATACCAAAATTGCATTTTTTATAAAATATAGTAATAGTCCATTTTTTTGTTACAATTAAGAATAGGTACTTAATGACAAAGAAACTAATGCAATTAATAATACTTATCTATTTTAAACTGTGTGAGACGTTTCAACTGAAATTTGAAATATTAGATGTTTTAAAATCGCAAAAACATAAATATTAATCACATTTGTAGTAAATTCATCACATTGATATTTTTCTTTGCATATTTTTATTAACTCTTGTTACTGCACTTAATAGCAAATAAACAAAGTAGAGCTACATAGACTTATTTGAAGCCCGTTTTTCGGCAAGATTTGAAAAAAATCCGAAAAAGAAAAGCCTAATTATGAAATATGATCATTTTAGATACGCTAATGTTTTTTTAATACTGCAAAAAGAACTTTTAAACTCTAATTAGCGTTCAATTTAAAATCATTAACTTTTACAATCCAATTCGTACAGTGAATATAAAACTGCAAATTAAATATTATTTGCATGAACTTCATTGGAATACTTCTAAATATATTTTTAACAAATTTTTATTTGTAGTTAAAAATTATTTTTGCAGCAACTAAATCTAAATATTAATATCAGTCGTCTACGTTGAAATCGCTAACTGTTTATTTCTTTTTAACTAAACTTTGCTATACGCATAAAAATGCCTAACTAAAGTAGGTAAGTATATATATACTAGTTACCATTGTACTTCATGAAAAACTGTTTTTGATTGCATATACAGATGAAATTGCTTTGGCAAACAATAAATAAAAAATGCAAGCGTACGAACTTATTTACTTATAAATAATTAGTATTAAATAAATTTTAAACGCTTTAGATTCGGTAGATACGGACAAAAGATAATCTGAGAGGTTTAATATGCTTGTTTATATAATAATAAATTTCAAGTAAGCTATTAACACATTTATTTCTTAATTACTTAGTTTGTAATTATAACGATTCTAAAAAATTGAATTTCCAATAAAAAAATTTGTGGTCAGTAATAAACATTCAGATTAACTCTCTTAGATTAAATCAACTGGATAAATAAAATACTTCAATAGACTATATAAATGATGACAATCATTTTAAGATCACAGCTATCAAACGTCATCATTTTATATCAACCATGTCGTTTTATATTCCAGCTAAGGTCTAGCTGCGATATACAATATATGTACAAAATATACAAGTATCTGTGCACTAGCATTAACGGTGTGAAACATTCTTTTTCAGTAAAATAAATATAGTATAATACTTAACGTAAAATAATAATGGTTTTCTTGTTAGGTACCTATTTGAAAGTCATACAAGTAGACAAGTGACTATTAATTCCCTTTCTTATTAGGCCTACTTTTTATTAATGTTAGTTAGCAATTCATTCACTAGCTGTGTCTGTATGTGTTATGTGCCGTTTTGATACCTAATGCTTGACTTTACTAATAAAATTCGGTTTGTTCTTTTGTAAACAACCTTCTTATAATTGCGATATTTTTTACAACGCGATTGTAAAGGATGTACTGTGTGCTTAACAAGAGCCTAATAAAACGTAACAAAACATTCAGCAGCAATTAAGGATTCGAATCGCCTTTTAATGGAGTAATTGAGCATCTAACTTTTCTTTTTTTTTTTCTTTGCTAAAAAAGTAACCATAATCTAATATTGCACAAATCTAGCAAATATCCAATCCATGTATTGCTTTTGTTATGCACAACACGCCAAAGCTCCTGTCACGCACCAGCACTCATGATATCGTGAAGAGACCCAGCTGGCTGAANGTTGGTCTGTGTTCTGTCGGAGCTGCCTGCGACGCGCTGATGAGATCCAAAAAGATCGAAATCGCGATCCGCGTCTGGCAGTTTCGACAGAATGCAGACCACTTCGAATTATTTTATTGTAGAATCGAATTGTATTTTGTAAAATTTAGGCCACTGTCTCAGTGTGTCATTTAGAACATAAGAGCACACAATACAAGTAAGCGATAACAAATATAATATATATTCAATAAAACCCCATCCACGGGTCTTTTATACGAACCACCGCACTGACCTCTCCGCGGCGACGGACTCCATGGTTCGTCGCATGAGCGGGTACTGATCTAACACTGCGTTAAAATGGTCGACGGAAAGTGAGAACAAGTTACAATAGGTTTCAGCGCGGACGGATGCAACACGACGTGCGTTCGTCAGTAGGCAAATTTCGCCGAAATAGGAACCGTCGCTCAGGCTGGTCGCCACCTCTCCGTTTGCCATCACAATATCCACAATGCCCTCCTGGATAAAATACATCTTCGCACCTATCGTACCTTCTTTTATTATTATATCCCCTGTGAAAAAAAAAATGCATTGATAAGTTATCAAAGGTAAAAACGAACTACTCCAAATTATTTTAGAAAATAAAGAGATTACTTTGATAAAGTGCAATTAACAGTGCTCTTCAAATTTTCATTAATAAAAGTCCAATAGGGTTGATAGTTTATAAATTTAATTTATTCATACCTGGTTGGAAGACCTCATATTTTAATTTCGTAACTACGTCTGAAACGAAATTTGGATCTGCGTTTGTGAAAAATGGCACAGATGCCACCAATGAACGACAGTTATAATTTATCACATCTTCTCGTAGTTTTTCCGAAAGCTCTCCTAAAATCAATTCTTCATCGAAGAATTTCCCCTGGTAGCGATGCTCGAAATATTCTGTTATTCTTTGACGCATTTCCCTTGGTAGTTTTCTATACGCCATGTACTCCTCTACCTGCTTTACCTGCACAATAAAATAAAAAAAATAAAATTTATTTTTTATGACACAAAAACTAATGACACTACTAATACAGTGAGAATTAGGGTTGTCACCTTTTCAGGCTGTACATATAATAATAAATTTCAAGTAAGCTATTAACACATTTATTTCTTAATTACTTAGTTTGTAATTATAACGATTCTAAAAAATTGAATTTCCAATAAAAAAATTTGTGGTCAGTAATAAACATTCAGATTAACTCTCTTAGATTAAATCAACTGGATAAATAAAATACTTCAATAGACTATATAAATGATGACAATCATTTTAAGATCACAGCTATCAAACGTCATCATTTTATATCAACCATGTCGTTTTATATTCCAGCTAAGGTCTAGCTGCGATATACAATATATGTACAAAATATACAAGTATCTGTGCACTAGCATTAACGGTGTGAAACATTCTTTTTCAGTAAAATAAATATAGTATAATACTTAACGTAAAATAATAATGGTTTTCTTGTTAGGTACCTATTTGAAAGTCATACAAGTAGACAAGTGACTATTAATTCCCTTTCTTATTAGGCCTACTTTTTATTAATGTTAGTTAGCAATTCATTCACTAGCTGTGTCTGTATGTGTTATGTGCCGTTTTGATACCTAATGCTTGACTTTACTAATAAAATTCGGTTTGTTCTTTTGTAAACAACCTTCTTATAATTGCGATATTTTTTACAACGCGATTGTAAAGGATGTACTGTGTGCTTAACAAGAGCCTAATAAAACGTAACAAAACATTCAGCAGCAATTAAGGATTCGAATCGCCTTTTAATGGAGTAATTGAGCATCTAACTTTTCTTTTTTTTTTTCTTTGCTAAAAAAGTAACCATAATCTAATATTGCACAAATCTAGCAAATATCCAATCCATGTATTGCTTTTGTTATGCACAACACGCCAAAGCTCCTGTCACGCACCAGCACTCATGATATCGTGAAGAGACCCAGCTGGCTGAAGATAGTAATTTCAATTTTACCAGCCGCTGCATATGGCCGCAATGGGACTTACAGAGCACTAGTGCGTGGAGTGGCGTCATTGGAAGGACGATTCCTTGTGAAACGTGTCCGATTTATGAAACGACGGTCGACCACTGTTTTCACTACTCCTCGTTAAAGGGATGTCCTGCGATGCGAAGTTATTTTCCGATTTCGGCCTGGGCAGGGCGAGTTTCTTCAGCGTTCGACCAAGTTCATGTAGACTACGGTCGCTCGCGTGCAATCGGGCCATCGATTCATCGGACGCGTTCACATGATCGGCTTCAGCCGCTAGAGCGTTTACGACAGCGTTTATGGTTTTGCTCTCGCTTCCCAGGTCTTCTTCCTTATGTGCGACCAGGTTTGGATTCTTTCCTATTTTATTCAACCTGAAACACCATTCCAAATCAAAAAAATTGATTAATCATTGCGTCATTAATGGAACAAGCTTCGCAAATAGTATAGTACTTTAAGCTCTATTTGTCTTATTACTGCTGCGATTCAGGGGAAGCATTGTATAAGAAATTAATAGAAATCTAAAAAACCAGTGTTAGTGTTTTACTGAATACGATAATGCCATCGCTTTCTATTGTGTACTGTGTGTTGTGTGTGTTTTAACAAAATAATTAAAGCATATTTGGGCTTTATATTTCCACAAAAAAAATTGAAATGCTTAATGTTTAGGATAATAGAATCTGTGATGGTTCTTCTGTCAAGATTTGAATTAATTTTCGATAATTTAATATTAAAAGAATCAAATGTTTTTATCTTAACTTGATGAAAATCCATAATCAAGGAAACACGAGAAGTAGATTTTCACAACATACGTTTCGCAAGCTTTGACTTCTTGTGGCATAAGTACTTGGCTCATGTGTGAAGAAGCCAAAGTTCGACGAAACGTGTCACATTTTAGATATTATTTGTGAAGATCCAGTTATTGTGTTTCCTTGGTTATTGAAAAAACTTTATTATAATCTCTTCCGGTAATACGTAGTTCAAATTAAGATTAAACAATTTCAACTAGCATACAATACAACTTAAATGGCGATGATATTTTTAATAATACTGAAAGGTGATAGTCCAAATACACCACTCTACAAATGAAAGGGGGCAAGAGGTTCACAAGGGTAACAAAACAATTACTTATCTGTAACAATACAAAATCAGAGGAGGGTTTGTTTCTAGAAAGAGCATCAGACACAATGAAACAGACGAATTTAATAGTGTAGGTAAATGTTTTTTTTTTAAACTTTTCATATTAGATAAAAACAATTGTTGTTAAGATTGTAGAATTAGAAAATACTACAAATGGCGCAGTAAACGCCATCTGTAGCACGATGCTACATATTAGGATTACGTATGCTCCAACAAGATCCACTTGTGTGGATATCTACTTGCTGAAAACGGTAACTGTAACAAATAAACCCACCTGATGGGACATATAACTGAACCCGAAACTCTCTCAAAGCGCTAATGAAATAGCCACTATGAAGGTCGATGAATAAAGCAGACACTACTATACTTACTCGAAATCGGAACAACATTTTCATTATATGTACATTTTCGTACAAAATATGGGAAAACAGTTTTAATAAAAATAATGAAATTCAGTCAACGTGACGTACTATAGTTTGATACGAGTAAATTCACAGTACATGGTTTTTAGGACCAGAGAATTCGATTTATAAAGACTTCATATTGAGAAAAAATTGTTTTCATGCACTTTAAATATAAATATAGTAACATGGGGCAAAAAGACGCATTTAAGACTAAATTGGTGTTAGAAGCCATTTGGGCATAAAATCGAAAATGTTCCATTTAAAAAAAAATACAACGTGTAATTATACAACACGTTACTGAAGTGAAACTTCTTCAAACACACAAACATACCGGGATAGGGGTTAAGGAATTGGTTTAGTGGTATTATCTGTACACTATGAATTTAAATTTTACACTATACATGTCGGAGTTGCCTGTAACGAACGTTGCATTGAAGCGGGCTCACGGCTCAAGCGATCCCCACTACGAACTCGACTACGTGGCCGAGTAGAGGGGGGACATCCGTTGCATGATTTTGTTATATAGTAACTCGCATGAACTTACCCTACCATGCGTAGGGCTAATAATTTTTGAAGTTTCACAAAACAATAAATTCAAAAAACGCAAAGGAAGACAAAATCAGACTTTCAGTCGTCTTAGATTCAGGAAGCAAAAATCCTACAAGCTTATACTTTATTTGCCATAAACCTTCCTCTTGAATTAC